AACAGGAAGTAGGGAAATCTCTGGTCCTTGAGTGGAATCAAGAGATCAGAGGCACAGGGAAGAAAGGAAAGGAGGAAGATAAAGGAAGGTGTGTCGTGTACATGTACGACTCCACAGGAGGAATGTAAACACAGTGTACTGCCAATGTGGATCCATAAAATGATAAATTATTTTGAAAAGTTTATCTTCTTAACATAAAGCAGACTAATAAATAGCATTATATCACTTCAAATGAGGGCCAGCATCTACTTCATGGAAAGAATACTGGCATTTTATTTGCTGTTGTACTGTGAGGGTGCCTTTCCCTAGAATAGAAAACATGAGCTCTGATTTGGTTACTTTCCTTCTGTTGCTGAGACAAAACGCCCAACACCCTAAATTAAGGTAGGAAAGGTTTATTTTGCTCACGGTTTGTGGAGGTTTCAGCAGATGATCTGTGGGCTCCAGGGCACGGTAGCATAGCGCAGGAGCAACAGTTTGAGGCAGAAGACAGCAAAAGCAGCAAGAGCAAAGGGGGCTGAGCGGGGTAAGCCTCCTTTCCTCCCTTATACTGTACGCAGCCTACAGGACCCCAGGTGGGTGTAGGGCTTCCTTCATCTCTGTGCGTCCTCCTGCACAGGCTCAGAATGTTTACAAAGTGAACACCTCAGGCCCCTGATGAGTCAGCTAACCTTTTAAACTTCTCCAGTTGACACAATGAACAACACCCAAGAGTAGTGAGAGCACACCCTCTGGAACCTAGGGCGTACAACTGCTGAGTAGTACCCAACTTAGTTAGGCCTCTAGATTTCAATATATGAACCATTACAAGATGGAAAAGAAAGAAAGAAAGAAAGAAAGAAAGAAAGAAAGAAAGAAAGAAAGAAAGAAAGAAAGAAAGAAGAAAGAAAGAAAGAAAGATAGATAGAAAAAGAAATGAAAAGAGAAAGAGATGCTGGGGAGATGGCTCAGTGGAATAAGCACTTCGCTGACAAGTGCAAGGGCCTGAGTTTGATCCCCAGTTCTGCCAAAAATAAAAAAAAATTAAAAAAAGAAAAAGAGAAAGAGTGCATTAACTTTGAAATAAAAATAAATCTCAGCAGTGTCTTGCTTTGAAGTCTTGATCCAAATGAAACTGCATGGAGCAATCTTTTTTTTTTTTTTTTCTTTTTTAACAGTCAGGATTGAAACATAATAGTTATTAGAATTCAATGATATCATGCAGATTAAATACCAGCCTGGTGTCTGAAACACAGCATTGTAGCACTTTCTGCAGTTTTCAGATTCATATTAGTTTCCTCCTAGAATGATAGTTAATAACAATAATTTGTACTTCAGTTTCTCTTTCAAGATTTCTTTGCTACCCCTATCTCCTTATTCATTATAATCTGGAAACAGAATAAAACAAATTCCCTCTATCTGTTCCCAACTGTTAACATGTAACATGTGCTACGCATGCACACATATGCACATGTATGCACACACACATGCATATATGCATGTACCCATATAAGATACATACCTATATGGCATACAAATACAGTTGATAATTAGTGAGCCTTGCCATCCAATTGTTAATTGCATTCCACTACTCATCAAATCTAAGCTTTCTCTCAGTACCTCTACAGAATTTTCCATCCAACCAGTTCAGTAGGATCGCAGCAGGCCTTGTAGGCAATGTGCAATCTCAATATGCTCCCATAATTCCTTTTGGTAAGGAAATCTGGGAACAACTGAAGTTACGCCCAAGAAAGAAGCTGTTTTCTTGCCAATGGTACCACCACAGAGCCACCAGAGAGCCTTCCTAACAGAGGTGTGGTTAAAAATATGTTTACATTTTTAAAATATTACAATAAAAGACATGATACCTGAATATCAGAATACCTGAGCACCCCAACCCCTCAAACACTCACTTTCCCACAGAACATTTTGAACTACTGATCTTAACAGTTCCTGAACCCATCCTGGGAGTCTTCTTTCAAGAGCCCCTTTAATTGCTCTGTGGGGGTTACTGAACTGACTCAGAACTTCCATGATCATTTCAACCTTCAGGCACTGCCAAGAGGGAGGAGGGGGAGGAGCCACAGAAAGGTGGATGAGGACACCCTGCAGTGCTCTAACCAGGCTGCCTCCACTGGAGGGCACCCAGCAGCAGCAGCAGCCACGGTATAGTTGGCCACACCTCACAAAAGCACTCAACCAGAACTGCTCTCAAAGTGGTGAGCATAATGGGTATTTTGAACGAATTAAGGGTAATGTGTCCTCTAAAATAATGTCTTCAAATTTAAGTAGTCACTGTACATTTCAATCACTCTATGTACAGCTCAATCCAAATGTGTGTATTACTTGCCAAACAGTAGAAACCAAAGCAAATAATACAAACACTTTCAGATGCAGGCCATAAAAGTAATGTTACAACATACAGATATTATATACAGAATATTATTTGTCTATAAAATAACCTTAAGTATATAATTAATAATGCCTATTACATAAATACTGTATACACAGTACTTTAAAGACAACATTTTAGTATTATAATATTGCTGGAAAATGAAATCATTGCCACTGTCAAATTATAGAAAATATTTCAATAGGAGTAATATCTTTTAAAAACACCTAAATACCAGGAATCTTAAACCTGTGTAACTCAAAGTACAACTTCTAACTATGATCTTGGGAAAGTTATTTAATCACTTATAAACATCAATTTTCTCAGCTATAAATTCCAGTCTCTGCCATATATTCATATGTAAGAACTCAATAGGTGTTGGTAATTATTTACATTACCTGAAGATAGTTCTAGCACTATATCATCATTAAATGCCCTTCGAGAATGCTTACATAATAAATGGAATTTAACACACAACTCGGAGAAACCGGAAGAAAAGGACAGTACTGTAAGTTGTAAATAATTTAATTGTATGTGTCCAAGATATATTAAAAGCAGAAACTCAGAGCCCCTTTTACAGCCTTCCAGAAGCAGCAAACCTGAGATTAAAAAAAAAAAAAAATCCAAGGTTTAAAACCTTTCATTTCCAAACTCTACTTCAATAAATTTGAACTCATTGTACCTCTTCACCCACCACAGTTGATAAGCACATTTTATTGATACACATTGTAGCTTGTGATATAGCTGGTGACATTTGCTACATTAATTGAAAAGGTTAAAATTAAAGAACTCATGTAAGAAGCAGAACTATAGTTTCAAATTAGATTCCAGACTTGCCACTCCAAATCATCCAAAGCTTTTGGCACCAACATTACCAGAATATTCTGCCTATTTGAAGCTGTGAGCCTGTAGTCAATTAATCATTTTTTTTTTTTGTCTTGTCACTGCTGCAAAATAATCCAGCAAGAGAAGCCCTTCTAACTAAGCTCTCCTAGGACAAAACATAGAAATATAAATAAGGACATGATACCAAGACATGGTGATAATCAACTTTAAGAACTTTCTGTTTCTTCGAGTAAAACTCCAGCTTCACCCTTACTTAAAAAAACCTAAAATAGCTATTGCTTTATCCTCAGTTCTTTATATATCTTGATGTTCCTTCCCTTTTACCTCCTCCCTCAGTCTACCATGTCCACTCCTCTGCTTTTTAAGACAACGACAGGGCTTTAAATTTTAATGTGCTTTGTTCCTGGATGATTTCAACAGACCCAAGAGATCTGTCCACTTTGCAGCCTCTGGACAGCAGGACACAGTAATCCCTGGTCTTTCTACTGTCTAACACTAATGCAAGAATTCAGCCAAACTGGTAACACTAACACCATGAGGAAGACCACCACTTGTACAGAGAGCAAAATCAGTATGATAATATTAGAAGTAGGTTTTTAGAAATCTATTGGGAAGTAGCTGGTCACCACCACTTTGCTTCCAGTTCCACCTTGTGACTCATCTTGACTGAGTCTATTATTAGCTACCCTTCAAGAATTACTTTCCTTTACAAATGCTTTGCAGTTACTATAGTTTTCAATATGTGGAATTACATGAATTTTGCAATATGCAGTTGCAATAACACCTGAAAAAATTAAACGGGTTCTCTTTTAAAGCCCTGTTGAATAAGAACTACTTCAAGACAATTAGCCTGCTTTTCTTTCAAGTTGTTCTGCTATTCCAGATAACTGCTTGTCTAAAAGAAAACAGCTTGCGCTTGTGCGGAGCTGCAGCTAAAGCAGACCCAGGCCCGCGTGCCAAGCAATGACCATTCCTACACATTTCTCTCCCTAGAAGACCTGTCCTGACTAAAGACGGGAGTAATCTGATTTTGCAAAAGCAGCAACTACAGCGAGTTTCAGAGAGCGCAAGGAGTAAGCGAGCAGGGAGCTGCGGTACCTTTGACTTTACTTGATTTTGAATCTAGCTTGACTAGATTCAAAACGCGGTGCTCTGGCTGTCAGACTGCGTCCTCCTGCAAACGCGCGCGCAGGGCGAGGGCCTGGGGCGCACGTACTGTCGCGCACCCTCCGCCCCCCTTTGCGGGTCCGGGGCGCTTGGGGCGCGCCGCGCAGACGCCGCTTCGCGGAGCCGGGAGCACGGAGAGCGCAGCGCGCGGGAGACGCGCGCGGGGCGCACCAGGACACGCGGTCTACGTCGCTGCAGAGGTGGGAGGATGAGGCAGAGACCACAGCGAAGTAAAGGGTCAGAAGAGAAAGGGGGAAAACGTGTGCAAGCAGCACAATCAAAACTTGAAGTCTGGTCAAGAGGGCGGGACAGCCGGGGCGGCGGCTGGCACAGAGAAAAGGGTGGAAGAAGCAGAGTCAGAAGGGGCCCTGGGCGTAGGCATTTTGGCAGGCTCCAGCGCTCCGGCACTACCTGCACCTCCTCTCTCCAAGCGGAACAGTCGAGCGCGTACCTCCATGGAGTTGTGCAGCCAGCTCGACCAGACCCTGCCAGGGCTTCGACGGCAGCGAGTGGCTCAGCTGGGGTCCCGCCCCGCGCCGCCTTTCACCCGGGGAGTGCCAACCCCCAGTGAAAAGAAAGTGAAACAGAAGTTGCCGGCCGCGGCAAAGATAAACACCTCCAGCATGCGGGGGAGGGGCAAGACGGCACGCTCCTGGGCGGCTGCCCCAGGTGTCCTAGGGAGGCCTGCGGGTTTCTGCCACCTCTTGACCTTGGGGCACAGAAGCTGAAGGGCTAGAGAGCCGCGCAGGGGCGCCGGCCTTGCCTCACCCGGCCTGTGCCTCAGAGACACCTGCGCGGAATTCTCCGGGAAGGAAAAGAGGAATGTCCAGAGTCCCCCACAGACTCTACCACCAGGCACCTCCTGGGAGCCTTCCCCAGCAAATTCTGGAGCTTGGGGCAGCCCGTACCGGGAGGAAAGAGAAAATGATTGGAATCCGAAGAGGCCTCTGCTCCATGCACGTTTTCAGGCTCACAGTGAGAAGAGGGAAGTTTCTGCATTGTTTTAAGACTATGGGTGACTGCTTTGTCCAGACAGTTGGCTAGGAGATGAACGTCTCTGGGGTCACTTTTCCAGGCTAATACACAGACAGGCAGTTGCGACACATGCACAGCCCCTCGTTGGATGGGACCCTGAGCTGCTGTATGCTCCAGGTGGAAGACAAGACTTGAGTTGCTGAGACTGATCTGCATGCGGGTCACAGTCAGGGCCAAGGCCTCCTGCCCACTTTTGAAAGCACCTGGGAAAACCTGGCAGGGATGAGACTGATTCAAAATCCCTAGCGAACTGGTGGGCGGTACTTTCCAAAGCCTTTGAGTCAAGGCATGAAGCAATCAGAATTCTTGGCGCTTGCTTAAAAATGTTGCTGTTTTGATGTGTATTCCATACATGTCAAATAAAAATAAAACCATTTTGTAGAAGTTAAGTATAATTTGTTGTTAAATTCACATGAAATTATTTCTTTTTATGAAAATTTGAGTTTGGTTGGGTAAACCTTTCCTCTGTCCTTCTTTACTTGAAATTAAAACAGGTAAATTCTTTCTTTTTTTTTTTTTTTTTTTGGCCGTACTGGGGTTAATCACTTCAAACTTAAATCACAATCAACAAAATAAAGCAATGAAAACCAGTGAGAAGGTTTCTATACTTGGAAGTCATATTTAAAGAAATGAAGAAATTATTTTTCCCATCTATAGTAATGATGAATTTTCAGGTCATGATGCCAGGGGATGTTCGGCCCCTCAGATCTTTGCGCAGCAATTACATGGAAGCTCAGATGTGCAGGATGAGTGTGCCTTGAGAGAAGAGGCCCACCTTGGCTGGATTCTAACTTGGAGATACAGCCTCTGTGGAAGGACCTGAGAAGAGAGTGATCAGGGCAAATGGACCTGCGGCCTCAGCCCCAGCGAGGACCACTGCAGAGCTTCTTGGACCCCTGCAAATTGCTTCTTCTCTCTCCTCCTTTGGCCTCTTTTTGAATGGGTGCCATGTGTTCTGCTGCTGGAAGAGGAAGCAGAGGTCCAGACAAGGGGGCACTTGACGGGCAGCACTCAGCTCCTCTTAGCAGAATCCCACACTGCAGCTGTGGGTGGACCATCACCTCCCCTGTTCCACGCCTTTGTTCTGTGCAGGAGCTCCACAGAAAGCTACCAGGGCTCCCTAGCTCCTTGGCTCCAGATCTGCCAGCTCCCGGAGACTGAGGGGCATCAGTGTCCCACCGCACAGCTTTTACCAGTTGTAACCACCTCAGTGAATTAAACCACTTGAGCTGCCAGGGAGGTTTCTCAGCACTGTGAAACTGATCGAAGCTATCTTTGCAGGTTTGGAAGAACAACCTAAGAGTAAGAATAATAAAATTGGCCTGTAATTATTATTTTTTGGGGGCCTGTAATTATTGATTCAGCTTCTAATCCAGTACATTCTGGAACAATACACTCAATGACATATAAAGCATTTAGTCAGATTAGGGAAGTTAACATAAATCGCAATAAAGCAAAATGGAAAATTACTATAACCACTGGATGTGCTCTGTTCTATTTCTTGCCTCCCAAATATGTAGGTCAAATTTGTTTTCTTAATTATGGAGCAAAAAGGAAAGAGGGAATTTATGAATTAGTTATGAGTGCCTGGAATTCAATGAAGTTAAGTTTATAGCATCGTCTATTTTTGTGGCCTTCCACTCAAACAGAGAAGTATAATATATGCAATTTGTGTTTTTAGTTCCCACAGGCTGTTTGAGAAGATACTGAAAATTATTCACACCAATGAGCAAGTAAATTCTGCTGATAAATTAAAAGCAAAGAGCAAGATTGATGAAATAATTTTGAAACTGCCTTAAGATAACTAGTAAAACTGTAATGCTGGAAGAAGTAAAAATTAACTAAACCTCACAGAAGTGGCCATAATAATCTCAAAGAATGAACACTAAAATCATAGTTCAAACATTTTTAATATCTGTTTTTTTTTAAGACAATGCCAGTGGAACGGCTGTTCTTAAAGTAAATTATTAGTAAATGTTTTCTCTTGCTTTTGAAACTTCTACTTTGGAAGGAGTTAAATGTTAGCTCATCTAACTTAGAGCTCAAAGTCCATGACTGTAGCCTTATTTACTGTCTTCTTAAGATGAAATCACAAGTTAAGACCAGGTTGATCCTCCAGTCTTTAGAAAACACAACCTGCCTGACATTGTTCTGCTTTCCATTTTAAGTTATTTATTTATTTTTATGTGGTCAGTACAGGGTCTATGGGGTCTCATCACACAGATCAGACTCATAGTGATTCTCCTGGTTTCAGCCTCCCAAGGGCTGGGATTACAGGCACAGGACACCACGCCCAGACTAAGCATAGCAGATCCGTGCCGGGGATCGAACAGTAGTCCCTGTACCTGTCTAAGGAGGTGTGCTAGTCCGCTGAGCTATCTGGCCAGCCCTTGCTTTCCATTTTATATAAAGCATCCTTAAAGTGCCTGCAGCCTTATTTCTTTCTTCTTTGTACTCCTGGCAGTAGAGGCATCCACCTGCCCTGAAAAATTGCTCAAATTTTCAAAAGTTTCTGTAGTTATTAGTTTTTTAGAGGCACGCCAAGGTTAACTTTCATCTCTATAGTTCTTACTCTGCCTCTCTGGTGCAAGGCCAAGCACAGATTTTTTCAGTTATAATTTTTATTTTGATTGTACACATTTGTAGGGCAACACTGAGCTATTTGAAATATGTATATGTAAGCCCTGTAAGCATATTAATTTATTCTGTATTCACAGTCATGCTCTGAGAGATGAGCTATTCTTATATACATTTTAAGAATGTGGAAACCAATGCCTGGGGTGATACTTCTCTTTGTTTCTTTTTTGTGGTACTGGGGAAAGAGAGATGTGTTTACCTGCCTTAGATCACATGGCAACTGACTGAACCAACAAGATTTGAACTCAAATAGTCCAGTTTGAGAACACATATTGGTATCATCTGCGGCCTTTAACTTGACATCATTCTCTGCTGTTTCTAAAACAATTGGATTATTAAGAAAGAAGCCAACCTGTGCTATAGGGTAATTTTAGCCACCATCAAAAAGGAAACAGATCAGTTGCCTCGAATTTCTGGATCCCAAATGCAGTGTGTTCTGTAATCAAGCTTTTCTCTGGTTATTGAAACATATTTAACAGGCTGAGTGCCAGCAGAGTGTTGCTCCAGGTTTGAAGCAATAACTCCTGGCAGGTGAGATAGCTCAGTGGACAAAGTGCCTACTTAGGCAAGAGCAGGGACCAGGGTTTGATCCCTAGCACCACATGCTCCGCTGGCCCCACCCCTGAGTGCACTGAACCGGGCACCAAGACCACATGTGGTGGCTCATGCCTTTAATCCCAGTGCTGGGGAGGATGGAAATAAGAGGATCACTATGAGTCTGAGCTGCATAGTGAGACCCTGTACCAAATACATTAAAGAAAAGAAATGGTAAAAAAAGAAACAACAACTCCAGTGATGGCCTGTTGTGGCTGGTTCCTGACCAAAGGAGCCTGCTTCCGTTTAAGCTCAGCGTCTGAGTACACCCATGGGTGAAAGGCAAGACAAATGGTTTCAAACTGGAGACAGCTTAAAAATGATAATAATAACATACTTAATTTTAAAATGCACATATTCTTAAGTACATCTGTGCCTAGTGAAAGGGAGAAGGGATTTGAAAAGGAATAGCCAATGAATTTAAGGTCTAACAATACTATGCTAAAGAGACATTTAAAGTTGACTCTATCAAAACCTAGTTTGAGAAAATTAATAACTTTATTGAGTTTTATAACATGGGAATATATTTGTAGACATGCACCGTATGAACTGATTTTGTTGGTAATTATTTCAAAGACAAATTGTAAAAAGAATTGTATTTTTCCATTATATATGCTTGCAACATGCACATATATCTCTAATTAGTTCTTTGACTAAACTTGCCTATTTTTATAATACATAACTTTAACAAAAAGATGTAAGCTATAGTGTCAATGTCATGTCGATGTCAACAACAAAAGTTGAACAGATACTGAGTTTGACCCTGTGGCTCACAGATAGTAAGTAGGCTTCCAATCAATACGGAATTATTTCAGGTCTAAATTCTTTCTAGAATTAAAATATGAAAAATCATACATATGTATATATGTAAATTTATATACTATGTACATATTACACACTTGTATATGTTAATATATGTAGATAGGTATTTTACATATATATTCTTTGCAAATATCACAAATTTGACAGTTTGTATGGCTTCATTGTTTTGTTTATAATGTTTTTAATCCTAAAAATCACATTTATTGATGTTTTAATCTTCAAAATATTTTATCAAAATGAGATTTCAGAAGTACTCTATCACATACCAGTTCTATCAATAGAAGGTTCTAATTAATTAATGTATCATTGATTTCATTACAGATGAAACTTCATAGCAATTGTGTAGGCAATGACTCTGGTGAAATGGTTGCCTGTAGTTGCTATCCTAGATGTCCTAGAACATAAAGGCTTAGATAACAAATTAAGATGCTCAAATAGTGTGGTTTATCAGATCAGTTAAAAACATACTGTGTGAAGTAAAAGAAAAGAGATGGGGCACTAAGTTAACCCTGATAGGGTGGATTATAAATATTTTGCTCTCTAAATCTTAGACTATACACATTCATGTAGTTCCTGTCCATCTCCTCCTACGTTAATCTTCTCTGCTAATACTGTGGTGTTGAGAGCTAAAGTGCAGGGGGACACAGAAAGGAAGCTATTAGGACCCTCTTTCCATGGGTGAGACACAGAAGCAAATATAACTCTTCACTTATCCTCCAGAACAACTGTGGACATTAGATATCTTTGATGAACATAGAATATGTGAAGGTGAAATGGGACTGTATTGGATACCTGTGATCAAAGGCCAATTTAAAGATGATATGTAAAAACATTCCCTACCAGGGGCACGGCTGTACCTCTGATGCTAGTCCTTTCTCTCCTTACTATTCCTGTGTGCTCCAGCATACTGCAATAGTTTAGATCCTAAACCCTCCTATGATGATTAAAGGCTTAGCCCCAGTGCTATTGAGAGGTGGGGGAAATTTTACAGGTGGGGCCTAGGAGGAGGTCTTCTGCTCATCAGGGCTACCCTCCAGAAGGGAATAGCAGGACCCAAGGCTCTTCTTCTGGTCTTGCATGCCTTGGCCATGAAGTAAATGGTTTTGCACTAAGATTTGCTTGCCTCGTTGCCACTTAGCCACCCCCCTAGAGGACTAAATACACTGGCTCTACTTCATCATGGACTAAAAGCTCCAAAACAATGAGCTACAATAAAACTTTCCTCTTTATAATTTGGTCACAGTGGCAGAAGGCTAACATACACATAATTCTTTTGTTGTATCTATACTTACCACATGAGGTTACT